TATTCCCAGATGTGCCAACATGGCTCTCTTAATCCTTTGAGCAATACTTTGCTTCGGGCTCTGATTTACTTTTGGATGCTATTTGGAACCCTGACTCCCCGTGCATGCGTGCATAACCCCCCTATGCTCCCCCTGTGCATGTGCACACTCCCCTGTGCTCCCCTGCCCCCGTGTGTGTGTGCATGAACCCCATTTGCACCTTGCCCCTGTCCATGCATGGCAGACCCCAAAACCAGCTGGCCTGGCGGTAGGTGCACACGCATGCACAGCAGAGCTAAGCTGGGGCGATGGCTTATGTGCCCACAGAGAGGGGTCTGAGTGGTACTGCATCACGGATCTAGGGTCTCCTGCTTGAGCAGAGGGTTGGACTAGAAGACCTCTACGGTTCCTTCCAGCTCTATTCTGAACTTGATATTTAGCGTGTTGCTTGACCTTCAAGCAGGCGGCCTCTCACAATGGCTGCGGCATCTTCCCTCCCCCCGCCCCCCTCCCCTCCCGAGGATCATTCAGAGCCTCTTAGGAAGGAGAGTTTGGAGGAGTTAGTGGAGCATCTCCCAAGTCTTGTCCCCGTCTCTTTTAATGAGCACTTTTGCAGTGGGAAAATGTCCTAGTGGGCGAAGAGGAGCCAAGCCGCTTCACACTAATTATGTCATCCTTGTGTGGACAAAGCAAGGTGTGACTGGAGGAGAAGCAGGCTTCCAAGGCGGAGGGCTCAGGCTGGCTTCGCAGTTGCCGCTTAACGGGGGAAACATGATCTCATTACCAAGTATCACATCTCCTGTCCCCCAGGAGCTGGATAGGAACAGATGGTGAGGCTGCTTTAGGAAGCCTGGAGAAGAGGATTGAACACTCCCTCCCTCCCTTAATTTCTTCTTTCCTTTCTTCTCTCTTTCTCCTTCCTTCTTTTCTTCCTTCCTTCTCCCCCCGCCTTAATTTCTTCCCTCCTCGTTCTTTCCTTCCTTCTTTTCTTCCTCCATTTCTTCCTCCCTCCTGCCTTAATTTCTTCTCTCCTTTCTTCTCTCTCTCCTTCCTTGCTTTTTTCTTCTTCCTCCCTTAATTTCTTCTTTCTTCTTCCTTCCTCCATTCCTTCCCCCTCCCTTAATTCTCTCCATTCTTCTCTCTCTTCTTCCTCCCTTCTTTCTTTCCTCCATTTCTTCCTCCCTCCCTTCTTTCCTTCCTCCAATTCTTCTTCCCTCCTCCATTAATTTCTTCTTTCTTTTTCCTTCTTTCCTTCCTCCATTTCTTTCTCCTTCCTCCCTTAATTTCTTCTTTCCTTTCTTGTCTCTCTACTTCCTCCCTCCTGCCTTAATTTCTTCTCTCTTTTTTTCTCTCCTTTCTTCTCTCTCCTTCCTTCTTTCCTTCCTCCATTTCTTCCTCCCTTAATTTCTTCTTTCTTCTTCCTTCCTTCCTCCCTTCCCCCTCCTCCCTCAATTTCTTCTCTCCTTTCTTCTCTCTTCTTCCTTCCTTCCTTCTTTCCTTTCTCCATTTCTTCCTCCCTCCTCCCTCAATTTCTTCTCTCCTTTCTTCTCTCTCTACTTCCTCCCTCTTGACTTAATTTCTTCTCTCTCTTCTTCTCTCTCCTTCGTTCTTTCCTTCCTCCATTTCTTCCTCCCTTAATTTCTTCTTTCTCCTTCTATCCTTACCCCCTCCTCCCTCACTTTCTTCTCTCCTTTCTTCTCTCTCCTTCCTTCTTTCCTTCCTCCATTTCTTCCTCCCTTAATTTCTTCTTTCTTCTTCCTTCCTTCCTCCATTCCTTCCCCCTCCTCCCTCAATTTCTTCTCTCCTTTCTTCTCTCTTCTTCCTTCCTTCTTTCCTTTCTCCATTTCTTCCTCCCTCCTCCCTCAATTTCTTCTCTCCTTTCTTCTCTCTT